GCATCAGTTAGTTGGCACACCCTGCCTTCTTCCCCACCTACCTTCTGGTCTGTGCTGCAGGAGCTTGGTGCTTTGTGGAAAACGAACGGCATGGGCAAAGTGCAAATCTGCAGAGTCCTACAACCCAAGCGAATTCAAATTAGTGTTCCCCAGGTGGGAGTCGTTTTAAACATTCAGGAAGACAGCACAGCCAGTATCTGTTTAGAAAGTTGATAGATGGTTTTCTGGAAGTAAGGCAGTCTCGGGAACAAGGAATTCAGTTTTAAAACCCTGTAACTTCACGTTTCCTTCTCTCTCTGTGTTAATGGTAAATAGCAGAGTTCAATCCTGATCCCTTTACACCTTGGCCTGGAGAGTTGGCGTTTTTCTTCATAACGTGTAATTCAATGCCTTTGCTGAACAGGGGCTGACCCGTGAGATATGAACTGGAGGGCATGTGTGTTGGCAGGGTACCTAGGGGCAGGGCAAGCACTCAATGAAAACTCGGAGGCAGTCTTTTGGAAATATGAATTAATTTGCATTTACAGGGAGCCCTACTTTGGACATGAGGGAGAAGTGCTCTGCAGTTGGGGACCACATCTGTGTTTTCTGGCCCCCTCCTTTACTTTCCCTCTCTTCCTTTCCTGCTTCTCTTCTCCTCCTTTCCCCACAATGAGTGAGAACCTTCTTTCCATTCCTGAATTGTTTGAACTGCCTTGCTGACTGCTGAGCCTTTCCGACATATTTTGCAGCTTTTTCAAGGGACTATCACTACCTCACCTTTCTCCCATTTTTCTTTTTCAATGGCCCGAGGCTCTCGGTGGGTTGGAGGTCACAGCTGAATTGAATAAGGACAAGTACTCTGTTGCTTCACAGCCATTGCCTGTTGTTGTTGTTGTTTTTAATCTTTTTAAATCTATTTTTATTGGCGCATTATAATTAGACACAATGGTGGGATTTATTATGCCATCTTCATAATATGCACATAACATAACCTGCTCAGTCTCCTTCCTCAGGACCTTCCTTCCTGTCCCTGCCCGTCCACTTGCTATACTCTTATGATGTCCCTTTTTTTCCTTTCTTTCTTTTTTTTTAACTTTTTCTGGCTTACGTTTAAGAGGGCATTATCTCTGCATTAGGTGGTCATCAAAACTCACGTCTTGGATTATAGATGATGGAGACAAATGGATTCATTTTGATCCAAGGACTGAAGAAATAGATATATTGTGGATTTCTTATTACAGGCACTGAGAGTCTATTTTGGACCTCAGCAGATGCTGGCTTTTGCTAAAGAACGAGGTCTTTATCTTTGTCATTTCAATCACTGGCCCTTAAATAGGAAATCTACTTTTGATTTGAGTTGCTAATGCCCACCTGTAAATAAGGAAAAGAGTGACAGAGCATATTCTTCATCTCTAGCACTTCCTGGTGCATCTCAGAGGAATTTTTATGGAGTATAACAATTTCATAAGTGTTAACATTTAAGAAGACAGTTCCCATTCTAAGTATGAATGGAAGCCTGCTTTCGAGATTTCAGACTGGATTAAGGTTGGCCACAGCAGAAGGCAAAGTCATGTCTGAGTCAGAGCTCACACTCGTGGGGGTCCTGAGTGCAACCCAGACAGTGGAATAGACTCAGATGAAATGTCTTACTGTTGACTTTCAGCCTTAACCGATGGGTCTTGGAACTCAAAAGGGTCAGGGAATTACATTGAGACATCTGTTAATCTTGTATGCAGTTAAGCATTTGGTATGGACTGAAAAAATGTAAGCCACGGTGATGTCAACTGCTTTGCAAATCCTGTGTGCTTTATTACAATAAATATTTTTTGGAGTCATTCCTGATTCATGGTGGATTTTAGGCGTTATGCATATTTCCAATCAGTGAGCACCACTGTGTGCTGTATAGGGCAGGATCATTTTAGATTTGGAAGCAATTGCGATACTTGAAGAGCCGGACACTACTGATTTCATGAATGCACATCCCCGGGTGAAAAATCCACGGGCTGTGGCTGAGACTGGCCGCACTGCTTCCCCTGTGTCCAATGCCTACAGGCTTTACTTTAACATGTGTCTACTGATCTTTTGGTTTTGGGTGAGGAACCCGATTAGGTTCTAAAGTGGGTAGAAAGAAGAGGTCCTTGTGCTTCAGAGGGTGTCTCTCAGTTCCACAAGAAGTGGATTGTAGTTACATGGGAATCTCCCGTGCTACATAGGAGAGATGGGGCCCTTCACAGCCTTCCCTTTTCCTTAGGAAAATGAAAGCTTCCTGCGGCCTGTGTCCTGTCCGGGAGGTCCTGACATCTCAGATGAGAACTGTATATATGGCCCTGTATTTGCTTAGGGCAACAAACCATTTTGACTGGGTGTGTTTTTGCCCCCAGCTGAATCAGGAAATGGGGAAGATGCTGGGCCACACACCCTCTGCTCTGCCATGGGTGCTAAGTCAGGGTGGGTGTGGATATCCCAGCACTCCCCAAGTTTCTCAATTTGCCTGGGAACCTTTCCGCTTTCTCCCTGAGGCCTGTTGCCACGCAGTTCTCTGATGGGAACTGTCAGCCAGCGCTGGGTCGACTGGTTTTCCAGCCCATCTTTAAATAAAAGCGTTTTGCCCGATGGCACGTGTTGAGACTCGCCAAGACCATTTTTTTTTTTAATGATAAAAAAAAATCTCATCTGAGTGCTCAGAAGTTTGTAATTTTCATGTTTGGGTGGTTGCTGTTTGGTTAACTTGTTTGGGAAAATGTCATTTAACGTCCGTCTCTTGCCATTTCATCTCCTTTCCTGCCGCCATTGCACATTGGATGTGAGAAGATTGTATGGAACGATGCCAAAGGGACTGAAATGTCAGTGACGAGGTGGAAACACTTCTTTCCTCCTCCTCTGTGGTTGGTGTCTGTAAAGTGCCTTGATCACACGCTGAGAAGTGGCTTTGATGCTTTGGCTCAGGGTCACGGAGTCTCCCTCTCCTCTGTGCACGGCAGGCCATTTTCCACCCTGGTGTGTTCTGGTGCATGGTGCCTTTGCCAGAGTGATTTCCTTGGTCTGAAACAACCCTTTCCGTCCCCTGCCTCCTCTGCCTCTCAGAGCAGATGGGGTTGCCTCACTTCTGCCAGAGCCTTCCCCGCCCAGGAAGGTGCAGTGAGTCATCCTCTCTCTTCTACCTCAGTTGTACCTCTCAGTTCATTCGGCTTCTTCTCTGTGGTAGAATTACTTGTGGGCCTCCATCTCCCAAGACCCTGTAAGCCCCTGGGGACTGGGGCTGGGTCCTTGATCACCACCAGGCACCCCGTGTACCTGGCTTAGTACTTGTGACGTGGATGGAAACTCGAAATGGGCTCACCGAAGGTATGGATTTACGTAGTGCTTCAGTACATGAGTGATTTTGTGACTTATTATTGCCACCTCTTAACGCCTGTGCAAAGAAAATTTAGAGATGGATTCCCAGACAGATTTTGGTGCTAGAAAGCAAGGAGGTGCTCAGAAAGAAAAAAAGTTTTAAGAAGACACAGGCTGGGCACAGTGGCACATGCTTATAATACCAGAGGCTTGGGAGGCTGTGGCAGGAGGATTGCAAGCTCAAAGCCAGCCTCAGCAAATTAGTGAGGCCCTAAGTAACTTAGCAAGACCCTACCTCAAGATTAAAATTAAAAAGGTTTGGGGTTAAGTGCCCATGGGTTCAATCCCTAGTCCCTACCCACTTCCTGCAAATAAGTAAATAAATAAGAAAGACATGGAAGCCAGCTTGTCTTTTATTGACTAAATATGGTACATATGGTACAATATACGTCATACCCCAAAATAAATGATAGTGGTTGTGGATTATATCCCATTGAACACAATAAGAATCTATTTATATGTATTAAGATTAACTTTTAAAAATAAAAAATACGTAAATTAGTGAACAGAGGAAATCCCTTCCTGATAATAGAGTGTTCATCAATAAAGAAGAAGTGATATTTAAAAATCACCATTTTGTGATCATCATTGTAATAACTGAGCCAGGCAAGAATCACTGGTGAAGTCTCAAACTTGTGGGAGGGTTTAACATGAAACAGGCTGTTTATATAATCTCAAGTGTCTCCCACCAATTATAAATTGAGAAAGAGAAAGCAGTAACTTCCCCATGAAGTCAGGTGGACGTCACCTTAGAGAGAGTTAGCGTCACCCTACTGCGGCTGACCTTTGTCACCTGTCTCCTAACAGGACCTCTAGAAGGCTGACTCTTTCTGTTCTGGGAACATAGGCTCCAAAATAACTGGCTCGTGCTCTCCAAAAGTATCCATGTCCCGAAAGACAAAGACGGGCTGGGAACCTGTCCCATATTAAGTAGACGTGGCAACCAAAGGCAAGGGCATGACCCTGAATTAGGTCTCGGCCAGGGAACATTTTGACAGAGGACTTGATGATGGGTGGCATATCGTTTCACCATAGCTATGCCAGAGCCTGTGCTTAGGAGACACACAGTGAAGCATTTTGCGTGAATTAGGAGCGACACCTTCCTCCTGTCCTCAAAGGCACATGGGGGAAGGGGAAGAGGGGAGGAGACAGGGAAGGAAGGAGAAGAAAGAGAGAAGGAACGAGTAGGAGGACGAGAAGAGGCAGAAGGGGAGGGAGGAAGTAAATACACGGGAACGAGATTCTAAAGCAAATATAACAAAGTGTTAACCTCATAAAGCTATGACTATCCCTGTATATCCTGATAACCTTGGAATTATTTCAAAGTAAAATGTTGAAGAGAGCACAGTGCCCATACAAGTTCACAGACACCCTTTCTGGTCATTTTGGGGAGCAGTGGTCACTGAACTGCCCCTGCATCAGGGTAGGCTCTGTTCCCTCTTCTGTTTTTCTTCCCCTCACTGGGCACCAGGTGCAGAACCTGGTGGCTGGCAAAAATAGGCAGTTCCTAAATATCTAACGATCACAGGGGCCTCAGGGCCTTGGAGTCCCTCGAGTCATGGAATATTTATCTTCTCACAATGGCAAATGCAAATTGCCAAGACACATTTGACTCCTTTCTAGTTCCCTTGCAGCTAGTTACGGTCATATAAGAAGTTTGCTGTGGTTAAGCAGAGGGGATCTCAGAGAGGTGCCCGCCTCCCTGCCCCCTCTTTTCTCTGTCCTGGCTGGCATACAGATGTGATGGCTGAGGCCCGAGACGCCCTTTTAGATCATGTGGTGGGGGGAGCCGGGTGCTAAGAACCACAGAACAAAAAGAGGCCACTGGGTCCCCGATGCCAGGGCACACTAGCCCCTGGCTGCTTACCCCAGACTTCATTTATGTGAGAGAGAAATAAACATCTGCCTCCTGTAAACCCTTATTATTTGGCCTTTTCTTTCATTTACAGCTGAAGCTAATCCTCAGCGATACATTTTGCTTTCTAAATGTCATTGCTATTGAATTTTTGTCCCTCGGTGGAGTTTGTGTTCCATTTGTATCCCACACACATTAGCAATGACACTCTCCGGCTTTGGGGTTTGCTGTTTGCGCTTTCTGTTTTCTCCGAGCGGAACTTCCCTGGTTCTGACATGGATTCCGTTCCTGTCCTTGGCCTGGTGGGTCCGTTTCTGTGCTCTGGGTGTTTTCTGGAGGACACCCTCCAACTGTCATGGCAAACTCTCTCCCTTTTGCAAATTGCTCAATTGGCCTGAAAGGCTTGTGAGAACTGGCTTTCTTAGGAGCGTTCTTGTCTTGACTGACCCAGCTGCAGATGGACTGGACATGCAGAGGTAAGCACTTGGAATAATCAGAAAATAGGAAACTTTAACCATTTCCAGTTGCCAGCCACGTTTTACTTCAGCTGGAAGAGTCAGAGCGGATCTTTTTAGAGTGCTCCTTCTGTCTGGTGAGTTTTGTTTAGAAGATCTTTGTACTTTTCCGAGTCATGTTTTTTTTTTTTTTTTCTTGCTTGGTGGACGGTTCTCCCTTTGAAACTATTTATTGCCACTAAGGTTTGCGGCACAGTCAGTCCCACAGATAATCAATGGGTGTGTGTGCCCACAGCACAGCATAAATAGAGGAACCGACTTGCAGCTTGTTTATTGGTGGGCTGGCGTGTAAGCAAAGGGGCTTAGCCCCTCAATTACATGTGTGTGGGGTGGAGGGCAGGAACTTGGAAGTGGACCTCACAGGGACCATTGCGTGGTATTCTATTATTTACTTCAAAGCATTTATTTTTCCAAATGCTACATGGATGGAGATTGGATTTACTTGCACAATTTCCATCATAATGTCGTTTCATGGCCTGAGCGCTGTCATTTGTAGCATGATTTCTTCTGGTGGGCTGGCCGTATTGGTTCCCCTGGCTAACATGAATTTGAAAGATAATTGGTAATTACTGAAATGAAAAAGGATTATATTTGGAACTGTCATGTGTGAGGCCTTCCCACTCTTTCAACTTGGAACAGTCTAGACAGGAATCAGTAATTGCTATTATATGCAAATTTTATTTTTAGTCCTGTAGCAAAGAGCACAAATAACTTCTGTTGCTCTTGTGCTTATTGTTGTTGGGGGCCTCTAAAGCAGTCAGTAAAATAAAGGAAACACAAAGACAACCAAGAACCAATCAAATCAAATCAAAATGGAGGGGGATACACCATGAAGCATGATAAAAATATTCCCCTGGCCTAGGGGAGTCTCTTACAGAGCGGAAAGTGCTCTCCTCGTGACTTTGGGTAGGTTACACAGACTTCTGAGGCTTGGTTTCCCTGCGTAAAATTGATCCAATAATACCTACTTCGTGGAGTTTTTCCGAGAGTGAGAGGAGATCATTTATGGGCAAGTGTTTTGTACACTGTAAAATACTTTCAAGTATTTTTTTAGCTGTCGGCTAATTAAAGGAACAGCATGCGCTCCCCAGACCTCCAGTGTTCATTTTTCCGTTAAGCAGCACTGCAATTTTGCCTTTTAGATAACAGTGAAGGTTAAGAATTTGTCAAAAATTTTTACGTAATGTGCATAACATATTCTGATTAAAATGGGTAGCATTACCTTCAGGATTATTGTTGGTGTTATTGAAAGTTCATGAGAAGGAAGGTAGGCAAATAAAAAAAAAAAAAAGAAAAAGAAACAAAACAAAAACTAGCCTCTCTCCCTTGGCCTTGGGAATGAGGGGTTAAGAATTACAAGCGTATATAGTCAGCTGAATCTTTTACCAGGCAGCTTGGGCAATTACCAGAAGTGTGGTTCCCATCTGGGTCCTGTTTGGGAATTGCCAGGCTTTTGTCCAAGAGATAAGCTTTGTGAGTCCTGTGCTCTGAGAAAACAGAGGGAGTGCAGGGGACTTAGTCATGCAGAAGAGTTTGACACAACAGGTGGGCTTTTAAGAGTGCTGTCCAGGAGAAGATGCAAATGCCTTTATTAGTTCAGACAGCTCTTTTAAGTGTACAGAAAAACAGGCTTGCTGGGGGAGCTGGGCTTTCTTACAGGACAGACCTACTTGGGGGACTTTTGATTTTTAGGCAACTGAAAAGCAAGTTAAGGTTCCCTTTAGATTACCCAAGGCTTCTGCTTAAGGAGTTTTGAAGTTCTTCAGGATTCGTTCTGTTTCTCTGAGCCCTGAAATGCCTAACGCCATAGCAGGTAGGGTACCTAATACTGCCAGAAGCAAAGCATAATTTGGGGAGGATTTTGCAGGAATCTTTTGACAGGCATTCAGAAAGCAAAGTCTAGGATGTGAAACTCTCATGAGCACATAAGAAAGGAAGAGTCTCCAGTTTTGTTTTTTAAATGGAGAATTGTCTTTGCAGAGGAGGCAATATGCGAAGATCGTACAAAATATTTTGCGTTTATAATAGAGTATCATTTGGGGTTGTACAAAATACAATCTAAAATGAGGAGAAGATCACTGATCTCATGAGAGGTTACACCGAGTTAAGATGGATTTAGGATGGGGAAAATTAAAAGATTTTGAAAGATTGAGTCTCTTTTTCTCTTTTTAAATGTGGTGGTCTGTGGAGTTAGAATTTGGGGAAAGAGGGTCATGAATATTTGTTGATGAAGACAGTCACGCATGGTAGCTTCGAGGGGACTCCGCATAGACAGACTTGATCCCCAGTTCTCGTTTTCACAGCTGGTTGCAGTTGTCTGGATGATGTTAAGAATCAAGGATACTTTTTTTCTGTATTTGGAAAACGTGGTGCCAAACTGTTTAAGTCTGACTGGAAACAGGCTCCTCTGAATGAGGTCCTTTCGGCCCACGAGAGTCCTGGCTCAGAAGCTCTGGTCTCTCTGCCTTACAGCAAGGCCCCAAGTGCCCTGAGGTGGTTGTGAAATGAGGTTGCACTCATCCTCCGTTGAGAATTAAAAAGTAACATATTTTGTTTACACAGCACTGGTTTTATCTTTATTCTCATGTTTGTATTAGAAATGAGTAATTTAGTCCCAGAAAAATACCCGTGGGGCATGCTGCCAAGACTCAGTGCCAAACATGAGTTTTGTGATTGAAGTATTCAATATTATTAATCATTGCTACACAAAACCAAGTGAGGCTTTTTTTTTTCTCCAACATTAGATAATTGAAAAAGATGGCATTATAATCAAACTGTATGAACTGGAATGGTTACATTGGGCTTTGACCAGAGTGGATGTAGCCTTGATCTTATACAAATAAAAGATTTTTATTCTTCTTGATAGAGGAGGATAAGAATGGTCGAGATTATACCAAGTCTCCTTGTTTCTTGGTTTCTTTGATTATTTCCTTGGGTGGTGGGATTGGCTGTGAGGCAAATATTTTTTTCATTTTCGTCTCTGGGCTTTAATATTCAAATGCCGTATATCTTCAGGATATGAGCTATTGAAATAAAAAAAAACACGCATGACATTCATTTATTTATCCATCAAATGTTCCTTGAGCAACTACTCTGAGCCAGATTCTCTCCTGGGCATTTTTTAATTTTTTTTAATCTTCTGGGAGCTCACAGTCTTGAGGGTGCGGTAGATTGATTTATAAATGTATAACTGCAATATGGAGAAAATAATCTGTAATAAAAGCAGAGAGGGGAAGTCACGAGGCCTGTCCTAGATGGGAACCCTTCACAGAGAAGGGGTGTGAGCTCGCTGAGGAGGAACAGCCTGTTCTAGGTAGAGGGGAAGGCACAGGAAGAAGCTGCCCTGAGCTCTGAACTCTGGCTTGTGCACGTTGGTGTGCACGTGAGGCTGGAGGGCGGGGGACCGTGGAAGCCCAGCCAGCGCCCAAGCACAATTTCCAAGGTTCTTCTTCGGGATTTTCTGAACACAGATGCCATCTTTTAGGCATTGAGAAGCTACTAGGGCCTAAAGGAGACCAAGGTCTCAGATATTGGTTTTTGGAAGATCTCTCTGATGGTGGTATGCAAAATGTATTAAAAGCAGGGAAATATGGAGGAGGCTGTTGAGGTGGAGCAGGTGAGAGGGGATGAGGATATCAGCAGACACAGTGGGTGGTGGGTCGAGGATCAGCAGGTTTCTAGGGAGAGTGCAGGACCTGCATCCATGGCAGATGAGGCGGAGGACGCTGAGGAGGAGTGGAGCATGGTGCTGCCTGGGTCCGGAGTCAGGGGGTTCTGTAGCAGAGGAAGCAGGTTTCAGGGGCAGCAGCAGAGGCCAGGTGCAGAACCACCGGTTTTACTTTAGGCCTGGTACTCTTGTAGCTTGTGGGCCTGCAGCTCTTGCAGTTGTGAGTCGCAGCACGTGGTGTGGGTCTCCATTTCAGCTGGCCTCTAATTAGGAAGAACAGGAAAACAATATTTTAGTTGTTGGATGACGTATTTTTCTCCACCTCATGATCTAAAGGCCAAGGTCTCCGCCTTTAAAAATAACTATTTCTGAGGGCTAGCTCTGTTCCTGGTATTGTGTCCAGGTACCTGTTGTTAAGAAATAGTTTATGGGGGAAAAACCTGACGCCTCTCTCTGGAGAGGTTAACAGATTTGCCCAAAGTGGGGAAACGGGCATCAAATCAGGACTGTATTATGTGCAAGTATTTTATTACATTGGATTCTTGTAAAAAGATTAATTTTATGGGACAATAGCTGAAAAAATGAAACAATGGGTTGTAAGGTGTTTTGATCCTTATTTGGTTATTTAAGCTGCTCATTAAGACTTTTCTTCCTATATGGGACAAATTGAAGCTTGATTTACATATGGCATGATCTTTATGCTACTTAAAAACTCGCCAACTTCTTAGGAAAAAATATAGTTTGAGTATCTTCCAAAATTATAATGGAGGAATTGGATACCTTGAAAATCTGAGCTCTACATAAAGAAAATGTTTTTCCATTCTGCTTTTTTTGTGTAACACTTAGGCTTCCTATGGCAGGGTCCACCGTATTTTATAGTTTTTTTCTGGGTAAAATAAAATTTTCTTTTGGATTGAGGCCAAAACTGAAACAGATTCATCCTACTAAAGTATAAAAACTGAGACCCCATAAGTTAAAGGTGATTAACTAAACTTAAATTTTTAAAACAAACATAAATCAATAGTTCTATTATCATATAATGGCCATAGAACCCCAAGTTCTAAAAGATATTAGCCCCCATGGTCAGTATAAAATTAAAAATTCTGCCAGGAAAGAAACATATAGACAAGAGAAAAAGGAAAACAGACCTGAAGAAGGCACAGGTGTTGAAACAGCAACCACTTGAAAGCAGCTACTATAAATATGTCCAAGAAACTCAAGTTTTTGTCACAAGAAGTGAACAAACGGAAAACTTCAGCAAAGAAATGGACACTATACAAAGTCACCAAATGAC